CCAAGAAAAAAAATTGTTGGCTTTAAATAACTCAAGGTTGATATACTAAAACAAAATAAACCAAACCAATCTAAACCAAAGAATGATAATCTATTCAATGTGCTCTATCCTAAAAAGTTGTAGGCATTAAATAATGAGATTCAATTTGATATAATTAAAAAAAAATAAACCAAATAAAAAAACGCCACCTTTTATTATTTTCATAAATGGAAAGTAATATTGTTAAAATAAAAAAAATGAAAAATAAAGATGCAGACTCTTCTTTTTGACAAACACAAGAATCTCTAAATACATTTATGGAAATAATAAGATGTAAAAATCAATTTTCAATTTATGATGTTTAATGACAGCATTATAAATTGAAGCTATAAGACATCGGTTAGTAGATGTGACCAACGAGATTTCTTTCGTTTCACTTGAGATGCTTTTATTCATCCCCGTGGTTAAAAAAGTAACTGATTCCTTGATTAAAATTAAAAAAATGAAACCAATAAAAATATTTCAACAGGTTTTTTTGTCAAATCTGGACAAAACCTTTATTAAAAAAAATAATCTAGGCCGGTTCTGAAAATTTTCACCCAATAAGACCCATTGTTCCGCCTTTTCTAAATATCTGTGTTTGCAAAATTTCGCCTCTACTGAATCTTGAGTTATTTATACCAGGTTCTTTATATATTCAAAAATTCAAATTATTCGTCAACATCGTCCATTTCTATTTTCAGCTTCTCTCGCATTTATGATCTGATATTATCTTTTCAGTTTTATTCTCAGGAAACCTCAAATTTTCAAAAAATTCAATACAATGTCAACCGTTTTTTACCCTCTTAATTTTAAATCTTTTATTGTCTTCTTTTATTAATAGTAGTTTTTCATTAATTTTTTTATTATAAACCCTCATTCATTTTAGTGGCTTTATTGCCTTTGATATTCAAAATATAAATTTAATGTCAATCATTATTTCTGTATTTTTAAATTCCAATTCTTTTGTTACTAGCTGTCTTAATAGTATTTTTTCAAATATTTTTTTCAAGAATTACATAAACCCTTTTTCCTTGAATCATTTCAGATCATATTAAAAAAATTAAATCGCAAATTGTCAATCATTATAACTTTTTCTTCTAAATTATGTTATTTTATTGTCTTCTCTTCTTAATAGTAGATTTTAAATTCAAAGAACACTCATTACCCCTTGCAAGGCCTGATGTCCTAGTGTTTTTCTTGCCTTTTTAATCTTCTGGAAAATTTAAATGCAATGTCAACCCTTTTCTATCTTATAAATTCTTGTTTTTAATTGTTCTCCTTCATAAATTTTTTTTTTCAAATTCTATAACATTCAATAACCTCACGTTACATTTTTTAATTTTTGCTACGACTAAAATGATTTGGCCGGCAGGGGTAAAACTCACAAAATATACTTTGTAAAAAATAATATCCACTCCTAACTTTCTAAGAAATGATGTTATCAGGAATTTAAAACAAACTTTTATATATATATATATATATATATATTTATATATATATATATATATAATCAGTTGCATATATATACGTTGTTTGAACCCCATTATATGCAATTTTTGATCATTTTACAAACTGATTTATTTTTTTTAAATCGGGATCTATTTATGTTTATTTGTGCTTGATTATTTAAGTGTGGGTTTTTTTTTGGGAGTTTTTATATAATGGCACTTTCCACATAGATAGATAGATATATATATATATATATATATATATATATATATATAACCATACTAATATATATTTTGAACTATAAATTCAAAATAATATGTCGACCTTTTTTTTACAATCCGATCCAGCCGCGGAATTTCATTTTAATAAAGTTCATAATTGCAGTATAAGGTCGATAATCAAAATAAATGAGAACTCAAAATGTATGTATGTATGGTATTTAGCATTGTAGGTATCTAAGATTTTATATTTTCAATGATAATTCTTCTTGAATGATTAAATTAAAGATATGATGTATTTCTGTTTATCAATTAACACAAACATTTTTTTTTTGAATATACGACTTTGTGTCGTTTTCGATATTAATTTCCCATTATTTCCCAAATTTTTTCTAAGTTATAGAAAATGTTTCTACATAAAAAATTCGTCGCGAAAAATATTTAAATAATCAGAGTAAAAACAATCCACAAGAAAAGAAAATAGAAAAATGTAAAAAATGTTGCTGTCCGAAAATATTCATTTATAGAATAGATGTTGTTCTTCAATTTTTAGCTATTAGTAATAAAATGTTCTATTTCAAAAATTTGTATTATCTGTATCCGTAAAATGCTAATTGAAATGAAACAACCTGTTTTTGGAGCTTTCAAGAATTTGACGACCATTTGATTTTAAATTTTTTTTTACAGTTGTGATAAAGCAAGTTTTTTTATTTCCAGTGAAATACAATTTTTTACATTAAATTTTCTACTCAAAGTTCTTCTGAACAATATAATTTTATCTTCAAAAAACGTTAAATAATTTTATTTATTTTCATTGTCACTTATTACTAAGAAAAAAAAAAAAACAACATCTATTCAAATATTCGTCTGTAGGAACAGACGAAAACGTAATGTTCAAAATAAGAACTAATACAATAGAAATTTATAGTAAGAATTTCATTTCATTCATAAACGGAATTCGGACTTTTGTATATTATTTGAATTGTTTCCGAATCGATGGATTTCTCGCCAAAACATTCATTAACCTTTTTTTGTTTTTTCCATTTATAATTCTATGAATTTTCAAATTGGATTGCACGTTTTGGTTTTTATATATATATATATATATATATATATATATATATATATATATATATATATATATATATATATATATAAATATGATAATAGTTCAAAAGTTTGAGGCACACTTTGAATTAAAATTGCATTCAATTTAAATTTTGGACCTGAACTTTAAAACTTTAGATCCTAAAGTATTATTTTTAATAACAAAAATTTCGAGATAAAAATATTATCATGGTTTGCAAAAATAACATGATTTTTTGTCAGATCTGTTTAATTTCATGTCAATTATGAAAAATGTTTTTTAAAAACTTTTTCGTCAAAATTTCCTCCCAATCGCTAATTATTATTTTGCATAAATTGTTGGCATTCTATATTTCTCATATTATACGATTTTCTATTTGATTCCATTTTTTCAATGACTCTAAAAATTACTATTCATTGTTTTTTAAACGTTTTTTTTTTCTGGATCTTTATATAACTCCATGTAATTCTGGGTATATTTATTTATTTTTGAACAGTAGTATCTATCTATCTATCTATCTATCTATATATAAATATATATATATATATATATATATATACATATATATATATATATGAGCAGATTTCAAAACATACGACAGACAAACGTGCTTTTTATCTAGATTTTATACAATTTCGCATGCGATCTAATAATTTTTTCTTTTCAAATCTGATAAATTATATAAAAATTAAACAAATGTTCTTTTTATCCGAGCGCTTTTTTACTATACATTTAGCCATTTTCAAGGATTAAATATTTTAACTATTAAATAAGAAATAGTTTGTTTCATGTATGTTTATAAAATGTTTTAATTTTTCAAAACACGTTTAAGATATTGTGTCCATGTTCATATATATATATATATATATATATATATATATATATATATATATGTGTGTGTGTGTGTGTGTGTGTGTGTGTGTGTGTGTATGTAAAATATATAGAAAATAGGAAAGAACTCGTTAGGTAAATAATCCAAAGTTCTTTAGTATTTTGTTATTATTTTTTTAAAAATAGTGCTCGATACAAAAGTAGAGCATAAATATAATTATTTATTAAAAAAATATGATTCCAACGCTCGTTGGAAACATATTTTAAATAAATAATTATATATATATATATATATATATATATATATATATATATATATATATATATATATATATAAAATAAGTGTATTCGAGAACTCTTAATATAGGAAATGGGCTCTCCATTAACGATTAAAAAGTATTCTATTATCTTAGTGTTCTTCCTTGTTAATGCCCTTAATTCATCTTGAAAATTAATCATAGGAGTGGCTTCAAACTTTTGAACTGTATGTTATCTGCCTATTTTTTTTTCTACGCATGTAACTACGTTATTTTTTATGGGTAATATGCGAGTGAATATATCACCCGTCTGAATATGCATAAACTGGAGAGGTGACTGCGTAATTTTTCGTTTTCCATCTGCAGACATGCAGATCAGGGGCTTGAATCTGGTGATGCCGAGAGCGATATGTGTGTAACCTGAAGAAGCTTGGAGAGGTATTACCTCCATCATTCCTCATTCGTATTGCCTGCAAACAATCTGCAAGTTGCATCGCAACATTAACAGAAAAGGACGCAACCCACCGGCATTCTTCTCCTTACTCTCCATCCCCAGCCTATTTTTAACCCTGGGTTGAGAAACTAAAGAGCCTTGAGGTTAAGGGTGGGCGGCAGCTCCCGTAACCAGGTACATACTTTCGGCATATTCCACCTGCTCGTCTAACTGCCTACCTGAATCCTTATATCCTTGTTTTTGTTTGTTTGTTTATTGTTTTTTTTTTTTTTTTTTACTTTTTGCAACCCCCACTTCCTTGCCATTTTCTGGTATCACCTTAGACTTCCGGTTTCGGTTCATTTTATATTCCTGTCTGCGAGTAACGGAGACAAACGAACAGACGAAAATATAGACAGGCTCATAGGTGTTGTTCGAGAGTTTGAAATCTTATCTTTGTCTAATTAAGACCAAATTCACTGTTGCCACCTGAAGCGCAGTCAACAACATTTGAGAGTTAAACACGTTTTGTGTCATCCGAACCCCACCCCCAAAAAAAGAAAACACCGCAAGACACACCCGTCTTACTTGCCGCCTTGCATAATAATAATAATAATAATCTGTATATGTTCCCACCACTTTTTTTGTAAGAAGGAAATTCCATTCGCAGACTCCCGAGAGAGTGCTTCCTGAACATTACAGGCTTACGGACATATCACATTGAAACACTAGTTATCGAACGATTACCGAAGTTAAGCAACATCGAACCTGGTCACTACCTAGATGGGTGACCGCTTGGGAATACTAGGTGGTGTAAGCTTCGTTGTGCGCGTAATGTACAACGGCTAGGAATTGTTAATCGGAGAGCTGAGTTCCAATTCCGGTTGGGTTCGTTATATTCACTCACGCGCAAACACCCTTGGAAAAGGTATGAAACACTTTGACTCCCCCAGCTATGGGTTAATTATTAAAACTTGTATCAGTAAACTTTTATTATGTCAACCACCAAATTGTTACAGTCTAAAAATATTTTCTGGCTTTAAATAACCTGCAAAGGGTTGATAAGCCGTAGAAAACGAATCAATCAATCAATGAAATACTGATTAGCTACACCGGCATTATTTTTTAGATTTATTTACATTCTCTGGAATAGAAATGTATAGAAACTACCGTGGACAAAAAGTGAGGGAATAGTTTATATATTGACTCCAATATAGAATTGATCCCCCAATTTATATCCACATTATATTTTCTGGCTTTAAATAACCCGGAAAGGGTTGATAAGCCGTAAAAACGAATCAATCAATCAATGAATTTAGATTTATTTATACTCTCTGGAATACAAATGTATAGAAACTACTGTGGCCATAAAGTGAAGGAACAGTTTATATAGTGATTATGATATAGAATTGATCCCGAACTTTATGTCCATGTTATAACTTCTGGATTTAAATAACATGCAAAGGGTTGATAAGCCGTAGAAAATGAATCAATCAGTCACACTAGACATATTTTCAATCAATCAGTTCACACTAGATATATTTTCTGGCTTTTAATAAACTGAAAAGGGTTGATAAATTGTAGAAAATGAATCCATCAAATCAAACAATTAACATTACAATATAACCTCTTCAAATAAAGCGCGTCAAGCGTTGTCTATCCTACATAACATAAAAATATACATTTTTCAATCATTTCACCCCAAGCAAGGCGAGAATGCAACTAGTACGCAGGGGTTTACAGGGAGTGAAAGTGAGAGAAAAGACTGAGTATAGGGAGGATTGAGGAAAGGACAAAAGATGAACGAGATTCAAGAAGATAGAAGATGGTGATCGATGTTGCATTTAAATTTTGTTAATCATTTCACCCCAAGCAAGGTGGGAATGCCACTAGTACGAAGGGGTTTACAGGGAGTGAAAAAGTGAGAGAAAAGACTGAGTATATAGGAGGATTGAGGAAAGGACAAAAATTACTGGGATTCAAGAAGATACCAGATGGCGATTGAGGATGCATTTAAATTTTGTTAATCATTTCACCCCAAGCAAGGTGGGAATGCCACTAGTAATAGGGGGTTTACAAATGAAGGAAAGTGAGAGAAAAGACTGAGTATAGGAGGATTGAGGAAAGGACAAAAGATTTACGGATTCAAGAAGATACAAGATGGTGATTGACATTGTATTTAAATTATATGTTAAATCATTTCACCCCAAAAAGGCATTTAAATGCAGGGGTTTACAGGAGTGAAAATTGAAAAGAAAAAAACTGGGTATAGGGAGGATTGAGCAAAGGACAAAAGATAAACTGGGTTCAAGACAAGATGGCGATTGACGTTGCCTTTAAATATTTGAAAGTTGTATTTATCAGGAAGAAAGTAAACGGAAGGGAGTTTCACGGGTGGGAAGTGCGAGAAAGGAAACTGTTGGAGTAGAATTGGGAGTAGCATTTGGCTATTGAAACAATAAATGAGTTGGACCTAGACGCCAATCTAGCGGTATGCATAAATTCATATATTCGGGGCACAAGGGAAAAAAAGATCATTCAAGCAGTTGCCATGGAAATATTTGTAGAAAAGACAGAGGGAATCCTGGTTAGGATCGATTACATTCTTTGGATTTTGTCAGGAACCTCGAGATGATTAGCAGAAACACCAGACTAGATATGGCAACAGTATTCAATGCACGGACAAATGATAGATTTGTAAATGTACAAGATGGATTCTGACGGGCATATTTTTCCTGCCACATAATGACCCAGCTTTCCTTGCAGTAGATGCAGCTATTGATTCTATGTAGTCGCTCCCTTTCAAGTCAGTTGAAAACGCCAGACCAAGAAGTTTGCAACAATTTAAATGACCCCAGGAATCTAGCATCACCCATAATGAAGCCAGACAGAAAAGGTTCTCAATTTCTTACGTCTATAAAACAATTTTGTTCAGTAACCACCATCTATCTTCTTTTTTTCTTTTTTTTTAAATTTCTTCAAGTTTCTGAACATTGACAAATTTAAAAATCGTTTAGGCATCGTTGTGGATAATTTACAGCCTTATTCTAGCTGACAAAACATCGCGAAAATACCGCTACTGTATCGCTCTTTCCCTGGCAAATGTTCAGCCGAGATAAATTCTTTAGAACCAGTTCAGGTATTTACAAGGTTTTACGTTTGAAAATAATTAATTACCCACAAGGCCGTGGAGTGTTTAAACCAATAAAATCATTATTTGTCTGCAGACGATCATTCCTAATGAAACGTGTCACAATGTAGTTTTCTTTGTTGTTGTTTATTATCTGGCAATTATTTAGATATTGAGAAGCTTAGATTTGGCACAAGGACGCAAGAATGGCTCAATAATCGAGGATCTAACAAACTATTCAGTTGTAATTGATCTAACGAGACAGATTTCTTGACGATATCAGCTTGATATTGATATATGTAAAATTATATCATTTAAGGTATGTCGAAGTGAACAAAATTTAATTAATAAAGTGTTCAATAGTGGATAAAGTCTCCGAATTTCATATTGCGCAATTGTTTTGTCCAAGTACTTTCGACTGTCGCAGTCATTTTCAAGAAACGATGTTGTGTCTGTGGGCTGAATTTTTTTGCGCTTTCATCGTTTAGAGACAGACTTTTAAATTAATATTTTTTAATTAAAATTATTTATATATATATATATATATATATATATATATATATATATATATATACATATATATATATCGTTTAGAGACAGACTAAATATATATATATATATATATATATATATATATATCGTTTAGAACAGACTTTTAAATTAATATATATATATATATATATATATATATATATTTAAATTAATGTATATATATATTTTTAAATTAATATATATATATTTCGTTTCGAGACAGACTTTTAAATTAATATTTTTTTAAAATTGTTTTGCCAATATTTATATATATATATATATATATATATATATATATATATATATATATATATAATATATTAAAATATTGCCTGATATAAATCTTTTAACCCTCAGGCCTTTATTGAAATAATTGTTTCAAACGTTTCCGTAGTAATTAATTTTACGAATGAATATTGCTTATAAAGCTGCGTGAATTTCAAGATTAGTTATTCCAAAAAATTTCATTTGAGGATGAAACAGAGCTTTTTGTTTCTTGTTTTTTGAAACATGAGAACTTATTATAAAGCGAAGGAAATCATATTTTTTTTAAAAATAAGTATAATTTAGGCTTTTTTGTGTATTGATATAAAAAAAAAAAAAAAAAAAATACTAAAGAACTTTGGATTATTAACCTAACGATTCTTTTTTATATTTTCTATATATTTTTACACATTTTTACACAACATATATATATATATATATATATATATATATATATATATATATATATATATATATATAATACACAATATAATATATGTAATATATATATATATATATATATATATATGTAAATATATGATATATATATTATGTATAATATACATTGTATATGCATATACATGTATGTATATAATATATATATAATACATACATATAATATATATCTATATATATATTATATATATATAATATATGTATAAAAATATATATGCATATTTTAATATATATATGTATATATAATATGGATATAATATATAAATGTTTATATATTTTATATGTTTATTTGATATATATTATTTATTAGATTGTTTATTTACAATAATACTTTTTTAAAACATTATAAAAACTAATGCAATCCTTATTTTTTACAATTTTATAAAGTCCGAATGGATTGACAATTAGCCGATGTTTTGCCAAATATTCTAATAAACAATCTAATAAATAAATTGTGTTTATTATTATTATTATTTGTCTATTTATTTATTTATTATTATTTCATTTTGTTTATTTATTTTATATATATTTTTTACACATTCTTTTTATTTATTTACTCAATTCACCCCAAGTAAGGCAATAACACCACTAAGACGCAAGAAGCTACTGAAAGTGAAAGAGAAGAAAAAACTCTACAAGGGACCGGAAAGAGTTTGTATCAAAAATAAATAAATCCTTTACATCTAAATACAATCCTTATTATTTACCATTTTATAAAGTTCGAATCGATTGGCAATTAGCTGATGTTTTGCCAACCATTCCAACAAATAATATAATATAGTAAATAGTCTAAATAAACAATTTAATAAATAAATAGTGTTTTTAATTTTTGTTGTCAATTCTCAAGAAAAAAGAAAAAGTGTAAATTCACTTACATATGTTTAAGTTTTATTACAATTCTAATAATCGCTTTCTAAAAAATAAACATTTTCGAGGAGTGACGGTAGTTAAAATTATAGCGATTTCACTAAGGTCCATGTTTTCCCATAAATCTTTACTAAAGTTTATAAAAAGAAATAATGAAATAACAATGAAATATGGTCACCCTACATAGAATATCACTCCAAGGTACCCACATTATATGGTCAACGAAAATATATGAAATTAATATTCTAATGTAACCAATAGTTTTATAGAATTGGTAGCACCAGTCAAAAATGACTTCTAACATCTCTACTTGGTACTATCAAGTTAAGAACCTTTTGAGATATAAAGTCATTCTGTTTGATCAGAATGCATATGATGAATATGGATATTTGAAGTTAAAGAGAGGGTAAAATGGGCAAATGGTTATATGGAAGATGTGTGCAGCCCATACCAAATGTTAATCATCCCTCCAAAATTACCATAAGAAACAAGTAGAATTAAAACTAATGCAATATTTATCATTTACCAATTTATAAAGAAATAAATAGGAAAACATTTGCCATTTTATAAAGTTCAAATCAACTGGTAATTAAGCGATGTTTTGCCAACCGTTCCAATAAATAATATAATATAGAAAATAGTGTAAATAAACAATCTAATAAATAAATAGAGTCGATTACTTTTGTTGTAAATTCCCACGAACAATATATATATATATATATATTTCAAGAAAGACATTCGGATTACTAACACAAAAACAGAAAATGTCTCATATCGAGAATATTTAACATTGAAAAGCATAAGGAAAAATTAATTATTTTTTTATAATATGTGGAAATCTCCGCTTTTTACCTGAAGACGGTCATTAGACCAGAAACACGTGTAGTAAAATTATGGAAAACAAAGCATAATATTTTTTTTAAATAAATCCACATTACAACCAAAAACGTTTGCGGCACCTCTTCTCTTCTTTTAATATACATACTTTTCTCTCGTTGGAACCACTACAACCTCTTTCTTTTATATATATATATATATATATATATATATATATATATATATATATATATATATTACATGAATCATTCATACAAAAAACAGATTAGTGAAGTTAATGATATAAATGGCGAGACTACATACTCGCAAACAAATTTATTAAAATTACATTAACCCACGAACCTCTAGATGAAAGTTATGATCCCTGTTTTTAATAAATTCAACTTGTATAAGGTCTTTTTTTTGCTAGTACTTTCATCTGCTCATACAGACATCATCAGGCACGGAAATTGATTTTTTTTTTAATCCATCCAGGTAATAACGGGACACGAAAGATTAAATGTGAATCGAAATATGTTTTTTAGAAATGTGTTATTGTTAACTGTAAGAAATTCTAGAGCGTGCGGTCACAACGCTAAGGTTGAACTTTTTGAAAATTTAAAAGTGAGTGCGTTTTTTTTACTAATATGGACATTGGAGAATTCTTTTGTTGTAGTAGTTTTTTTCAGTCGATGTGGCATGAACTAAATTGTTCAATAAATACAGCAATGTCGCAGCTATTATCCCGAAAGTTGCACGTTGGATCAGTTCTTTTTAAATCAAATATGAGGTGCAGTTCAATTTATATTACATGAATCATTCATACAAAAAAACAGATTAGTGAAGTTAATGATATAAATGGTGAGAATACATTAAGTTAAAATTACATTAACCCACGAACCTCTCTCTCTATATATGTACAAATTAACTTTTGTCATATGTTTCAGGTTTATTCCAATTCTAATCATCACTTTTTAAAACAATAAACATTGCCAAGGAGTGAAGGTAGTTAAAATAATAGCAGTGTCAACGGAAAAACCGTCCTTTTGACACTCCGTTTTTTATTTTATCATATTGTTCCTGACAGTTTTCGATTGAATTATATAGGTAAATGTGTTAATGATTTTCTCAGTGCCTATATTAAGATGTGGGTTGGTAGAAGAAACAAGACACAAACTGTGTACATTGTCGATGTGTATCAATGCATAAGACTGCGAACGTCATACCCAGTGGGCAGAATAGGATTGACATATAGTGGAAATCTGTTAAACTTTAAGAATATACACTATTTACATTATTCGGACTATTGTCTTCATCTTTATCGCCATATTTATTACGACGTTTCGGCCGTTGTATGCTTTCTTCAGGTGGTTGGAATGCCGAACTGAACCCTTTATTTCGCTCAAAATTTAGACTGTTTCTAGTTCCAAGTGCCATTTTTAAAAAAAAAGTTATCAGTTATCTCCTGTTAATTCCCATCCAAGTTCTCCACTGCCTTAATCGGGTATTGAACTCACCATCTTTGGGTCCTAAAAAATTCTAAAAATATTAATTATCCACTGTGCCATGCAAAATGCAAAATCTTCTGCCTTCAAAATTCTTGTTCTTTTATTGTCTTCTCTCGCTTAATAATTTGTTTTTTGGTAAGCAATTCTCTTTCAAAGAAAACCCTTTACATCCTAGTGGCTTTTTTGCCTTTGATCTTACGAAATTTAAATGCAATGTCAATCGTTAAATTCTGTCTTCTTAATTCTTGTTCTTTTTTGTCTTCTCTCCTTAATAGTAGTTTTCTCATATTCTCTAACATTCAAAAACCCTTGCGTCCTAGTTATGGATTTATTTCTTTGATCTATCTAAATTTAAATACAATGTCAATCATTATCTTCTGTATTCTTAATTCTTTTTGACTTTTATTGTCCTCTCTCCTTAATAG